AGGACGACCGAGCTGAGCGCGGGCTCACTCCGGAGCTCGGGGGACAGGACTGGGTGAACCGGGGAGTCCTGGGATCCCGCCCGCCCGGACTCCGCGCCCCCGGGCCCGCCCCCGCCGCGGGCCGGCTCCAGTCCCTGCGGCCGCGCCCCGCCCGCGCCCTCCTCCCACCCCGCCCCCGGACAGCGCCTCCGAGCCTCCAGACTGGAACTGCCTTTTCCTCCCGCACCGAGGCGGGCGCTGCGCTCTCTGTGCACCTCCCCAGGCGTCAAGTGTCCCGAGAACAGGTCCCGGGCCAGGGTGTCATGGAGCCCCGGGGGGTGCTGCTAAGTGCGGAGGTGCCGGGACCCGCGCCCCCGGAAGAACCCCGGGCAGCCGGGGAGCCTCTCGCCGCGGGAGGGCCCCGCACAGAGGGCGGCGTGGATGGCGGCTGCGCGGCGGCCCCGGGCCCCGACGCCGAGCGCGGGTCCTCACAGGAGGGGGCCAGCCTCCGGGAGCAGGAGGCGCGGCTGGAGAACCGCCGCCGCGCGCGCTCCTTCTCGCTGCCCGCCGACCCGATCCTGCAGGCGGCTCAGTTCCTGCAGCAGCGCCAGCCGCCTGCCCCGGGCGCGGAGGGCGGCGAGGCGGCCGAGGACGCGCCGCTCGGTCCGGGCGACTGCTGCGCCAAGTGCAAGAAGCGGGTGCAGTTCGCGGACGCGCTGGGGCTGAGCCTGGCCCGCGTGAAGCACTTCAGCGAGGCCGAGGAGCCGCAGGTGCCGCCCGCCGTGCTCTCACGCCTGCGCAGCTTCCCGGCGCGCGCCGAGGACCTGGAGGGGCTCCCGGGCCTGCTGGCCGCGGTGGTGGCCGCGCCCCCCCGCGCGCCGCCGCCGCCCCGGCTGCAGCCCCTCTTCGAGCTGCCCGGGCCGAGCGCCGCGGCTGCGCGCCTGCGGAGACAGCGCGTGTGCCTGGAGCGCGTGCAGTGCGCGGCGCCAGGCGGCGCGGAGGTGACCGGCTCGGGCCGGGTGCTGGGCTGCCCCGGGCCGCGCGTCGTGGCCGTGCGCTACACCTTCACCGAGTGGCGCTCCTTCCTGGACGTGCCGGCCGAGCTGCGGCCCGAGCCCGGGAAGCCTCTGCCGCCAGACGCGCCGTCGGGGGAGCCTGGGGACGCCGAAGAGGAGGAGGAGCCCGGCGCCGAGCGCTTCCACTTCGCGCTGTCCCTGCCCCCGGGCCTGCTGCCCAAGGAGGGGGAGGACGCGGACTCGCCGGGGCTCGCCGTCCACTTCGCCATCTGCTACCGGTGTGCCCAGGGCGAGTACTGGGATAACAACGCGGGGGCCAACTACACGCTGCGCTCGGGGCGCACGGCCGACGGGCTCTGAGCCCGCGGGGCCGGGCCGACGGCGCGCGGGGCCCAGGTAGCCGGGCATCGTCCCCCCGGGGAGAGGGAAGACCTCACTGCAAGCTCGTTGGCACCCAGACAGGTCCTGCTAGCAAGCACGGAGCCCGGGCCAAGCGCCCTGCCTTCCCGCCGCTTTGGCCTTTGGAATTCTCGCCCCGCATCGAACGGGAAGAAATCCTCAAGATTCCGAGCAGTGACTTTCTCCACGGGGGGGAAAAAAAAAGACTCCTGAGCGAGGCTGCAAACCCTTGGCATTTGTTTTTAGCTGTGGACGCCCCCTCAGCTCTCATGGAGAGGTGGAAGGATCGTGCGGAGGGCCGGTGTGGAGAGCGGGTCAGCGGGAGCCTTTGCGTCGCTGCCTTTTCTCTTAATTGAGATCTGAGAATTATTTGCGCTTGCATACGGATATCCTGCTGAAAATTTAAGGCCACGTGCATGTCTGCTACTTGATATTTCAGCTCCTGGCAGTTTGGGAGGCCTTGGCAGTTGGGCCATCTTCAGTGGACGCTGCTGCACTTTAAAATCATCAAAGCACAGTATTTTCAGATTTCCCTTGTCCCATCCCTCCTCTCTGATATGGAAAGGGCCTAGATTTTCCACAGTGGGCTAGAGTGTTCTTAAAAATGTTTTGTAGAAGCCGTTCTTTCCCCAGGCAGAACAAGATCCGCGGCGAGCCGAAGCGCCAGAGTGCCCGCCCGGCCTTGGCTGTGAGCCGGTCTCTGGCCCCAGCCCCTTTGTGCCGGCGAAGCACACGGTCGCTGCTGGGCTTCTGGGCCCTCAGCAGTCAGAGAATCTGGACTCTCGGAGCCTGGACTCCACGGCGGGAGATGAGGGAAGGAAAGGGCTTTCTGTGCCTCCTGGAGCCACAGTGCGGAGTGGTGACTTGAAGGATGAAGCCTGCCCATCCAGAAGATCCTCCTCTGAATCCACTGGGCGCCTTGCACAGGCTACGACTGTGGGCATCAGTCTGGTTGGCAGTCTTCATTCACTGCTGATGGCCATGGATGTCAGGATAAGGTGGCCATGCACGACCAGGGCTGGTGAGCCTCCTGAGGACTTGACTTCTTCAAACCTCCGTCATCCCTTGGTAACCTGCCTTTCTTTGGTTTTCACGTGTTCGGGCACATGGCTAGTATAGTCAGCTCCGTTTTGCAACGCTAATCTTCAGGGAGTGGTGGTTTCACTGCTGCTCGCTAAGAACCAGGGTAGGCAACCTACAGCCCACAGGCCAGATGCAGCTGAAAGGCATTCATGTAGCTGAGAGCTAAGAATGCCTGTTACGTTTTTAAATAGTTGGAAGAATTCAAAAGAATACTATTTTTGTGATACATAAGAAGTGTACAAAATTCACATTTCAGGGCCTGTCAGCACAGGTTTGTAGGAACATAGCCATGCACATTTATGTACATGTTATCCATGATCACTTTCCTGCTACAAGTGCAGCACTGAGGAGATGCAGCAGAGATCACATGGCAAACTCTGAAATATTTACTATTTGGGCCTTTATAAAGTCTGCCCTAGAGAAGTAGTGTTTTTTTTTTTTTTAACTATATGTTGAGAGTTATACTTAAAGCAGTTAAACTTTTAGTAAAAGTTTGTTACTTGACATTAACCTCCTTTGGGTAAAGGTAAAACTGGATGCATTTCTCTTAGTAATCTTGGTTGATTACAATAAACACTCAGACACCAAATGTACAATTATTCCTTTACTGGGGAGGGGAATCCATCTGCTGCTTCTAAGAAATAGCAGAGGGACTTCCCTGGTGGCCCAGTAGTTAAGAATGCAGGGAATGAAGGTTTGATTCCTGGCTGAGGAACCAAGATCCCCTAGGCTGCAGGGAAAAGAAAAAAGAAAAAAAGAAATTATAGAAGGTCAAGACAGCTGCACTGTGGCACCCCTCGGAATTAACATCAAGCTACAAAAAGCTGCCAGATATTTCCATGCCTCAAAATGGGATGTCTCAAGCTATAGAAATATTTAGTTTGAACTCTGGTTTGTAAAATATCCTTTTTGACTATGGCGGTGTTTGCCAAAGGTAACTGATCTTGGAAAAAATTTAAATACTGATTTATGAGTGGAAAGCCATCAGAAGTTAATGAATTACAATTTATAGTTTTAGTAAAGCAGACTAAAAAAAAAATGGTCATGTGGATGACCTAATGTGCTTATAAAAAAACTTTTTAATGATAAAGTGGCCCAGACGGAAAGAAACCGCCTGCAATGCAGGAGACCCAGGTTCTACCCCTGCTTGGGAACTTCCCCTGGAGAAAGTGAAAGTCGCTCAAGTCGTGTCCAACTCTTTGCGACCCCAAGGACTGTACAGTCCATGGAATTCTCCAGGCTACAATACTGGAGTGGGTAGCCTATCCCTTCTCCAGGGGATCTTCCCGACCCAGGAATCGAACTGGGGTCTCCTGCATTGCAGGCAGGTTCTTTATCAACTGAGCTATCAGGGAAGCCCACTCCAGTATTCTTGCCTGGAGAATCCCATGGAGAACAGAGCCTGGCGGCCTACAGTCCATGGGGCAGCAGAGTTGGACACAACTGAGTGACTAACACTTTCACTTTCAAGCAATTATTAGAACTACATAATTTTTCTGCTACTAAATACAAATGCAATCAAGCATTTTTTTTCAATGTCTGATATTGGGTCTGGCCTATCACTTCCTTTTTGAAAGTGCATTACTGCATAATAATTACACCTAGATAAATACATTTTCTATTTTTCTTATGAAAACATTTTAGTTGAAAAGTATTGCTAGTGTAAATAGCCTATAATACAGTTTGAAATGATAGTTCATATGGCAGCAATGCATTACTTTGGATTGTTTTTGATTATTAATTTTTAAAATTAAATTAGGAGAACAATATTATGATCAAAATAGAGACCCTCTTATCTTGTATCTTTTAAAATAGTAACCCATTAAATCTAGAATAAAATACATGAGAAATGAATTTTTAAGAAGCCATGTACAGCAAAAATTTTATTCCTATAAAAACCATTACTGATTTTCAAAGTTATATTTTGGAATTCAAACAATTTTAAGATGACTTGTTTCATAATATAAAAACTTCAAACTGTTCTGTTTGGGAACTGTTTGTGCTGAGAGTTATATTTGGTAAAGTATAACTGTTAGGAAAGAAAACCTGGATTTGCTCTCCCGTAAGTCTTGGAGGTTAGCTCTTCTAAGGCTCAGGTTACAAAGACCTGTAAAATACGGTGAACAGCCCAGACTTTCTACATGTGGTTATAGCCTTTCAAAGCTCTAGAACTGGCAGTCTTCTAAATGTCAACCTTATTTTTATAAAGTGCCAACTTCTCACTGTAGATTGATACTAAACACTTTGCAAAGAAATGTTAGGACGTTAAAATAGCTCTTTATTGGTTTGTTTTTGAAAATTCTCAAAGGAAGGCGCACTACTGATGGGCATGAGGAAGTGTTTAAGAGTGTACTTCCCGAATGGAACGAACACACACATTTATCCCCAAAGCCAAATTCCCACAGTGCAGCTGTGGCATTTTTGCCGTAATATTTATCACAACTTGTTAAATGAGGGTCACTCTGCTTGAGCTTCAACATCTCACCCACCTCTAGTGATCAAAAACTAGAAGTTCTGCTCAGCTCAGCCGAGGACCCTGACTTTTACCAGAGGGACTTGAGTTTCTTCTGTTTGGGCAAGGTGGGGCCCATGGGTCAGGGGACGTTGTGTGAAGCGCGTGTCCCAGTCCAGAGCATCAGAGCAGTGCTTGGAAATGCAGCCGTCTGTGCGGACAACCCTGATAACCCCCGGGTTTATGAAGCAAGGTGACCAAGATCTAACTGAGGATCCCAGCCGAGCCCTGGGGACACTAGGCAGCTCTGCGCGGGTGGCAGGACCGCGGCCCGGGAGCCGTCCTGCAGCAGCGGGCGGTGGGCAGTGCTCGTCCAGAATCCGGCTGCAGGGCCTGGAGAACCTTCTCCTGAAACACGGGTGTGCTGTGTCTTCCCACCTGGCCATGGCCCCGCCTGCAGTACCCCTCCTGCCCTGACTGGGGGGAGGCCTTCCCAGGCGATGCTGTGGGCTTGAGCCACGCAGAGCCTGCTGCTCGTTTAATTTTTGGAGGTTTATTTTGGACTCCCGCTGTGTCCCATCTTTCTGCCCTGGCCCAGCGGCGTTTATGTATTTTAGCATGCTCGGTTTTCTCATCCCCCGACTCAGTCGCTTGTTTCTCAGGAGCGTGTGGCTTGGAGCCATGTAGGGTACTGTGACCAGTACCATGTGTACTTTGTCAGGAGTGAAAGGAACAGCCTTTGGGAAGAAACGGGAGGTTTTGCTCTTGCGCAACATCACGGTACTGGTGTGCGTTTTTGGCTCACATCGTGGAACACGGGTTTGTAGGTTAAAAGGGGGCACCGTGCGTGCTGTAGCTTGGCAGGCGGCCCTGACAAACAGCGGGCTGTTTGCAGTCCAGCTCTGCCCGGCCAGCCCCCGTGACGCCAGGCCTGGACGGTCTGCCAGCATGGGGAGGGGTGTTGCTTTGTGCAGTCACAGTGGCAAGGGGCTGAGTGGAAACTGGGCCCAGCCCAGTGCCCCCCCTTTTCCTCCTGCAGGGCCATCCTGGCCTTACTGTCAGCAAGTGGGCCTGAAGCCCCTTTGGGAGAGGCCGGCCCTGCTTCTCCTCGGCATTGGTGATGGATGGACACACTCCACCAGGTGACCTGCTGTGTCTCCACGTCCTCCTCCAGGCTCCCTTCTGCTGATGAGTGGACTGTCAGGACGCAGCCCTTCGTGGTCCTTTAAGCCTCCCAGGCTGGCGGCTGGACAGCTAAACACTAGGCTCATTAGGACCGAAAGCCCTTTGAATCTTTTTGATGTAGTATTTGCATCCTGTAGCATTAGTTCTTTGGCTTCACCCTCTGTGAACAGACACATTTTTGGTAAAGAAAGAAATGAATCACCTTTGGGTTTTGGGGAGACATCTGAGATGGCGAGGATCAAGGACTCGCTGTGAAAGGGTGATAGTGAGACGTACCTGGTGGATCTAATAGAAGAGTGGAAGTCTGTGACGTCAGGAGTTCAGAGCCATTTCAACCCGGAAATCCTTCGATACACACACATCTCTGGTAAAGCAAAGATGCTGTAGAGACACTTCCAGACATTTTGGAGAAATCAGAGTTGTGTAATTACGCATCCCATTGGTATTGTTGGCATTGCTCGGGTTCTCTGAAACCTGTTAACTCAAGTCATTGCCCAAGGAGAACCGGCAGCCTCCTAATGTGTCCAGAAATGGGAAAATCAGTCTGAAACTTCGAACGCAGTCAAGATTGAAAGCAGGTGTTTGGTGAACTGGGCTTGAAACATTTAACCTCCGGGTCGAAGAATTCCCCAGCACATCCTGCAGAAGGCCTTTCTGTAAACAGCTACATGTGTTCCGTTTAGGAAACACCCACTCGAGCATGTGAGAAGGTTACGGTGGCGGGAAACCATGCTCCTTACAGGGGCCGCCTGGCAGGGCTCGACAGTATTTGTAGGTACAATGCCTCCAGGGACAGCTCTGCGAGAACTCCTGACATCAGGAGGCTGTTCTGATGCAGCTGAATCGGCGTTTTTTTACACCCAAAGTGGGAAAAACAGGTCTCTCGTAGGAAGTTAGGTTTTGTCTGATTTTTACATTACACAAAAAGAAATGTGCATTTACATTCAGAACCACTTTAAATGGCTTAGAGAATTCCATTTGTGTGTCCTTTTCAGCCTGGTTAAGGAGAATATGTTCTTTTGGAAAAAAACAAAAACAGCTCTCATTTAGATCTGTGATTCTGTTGCTTATTTTCCCATCCCAAAACGTCTGAACCAGAGGTGCTTCTGTTAATGGCATTTGAAGCGTTGCTGTTTGTTTTAGTCATTTTTAATGACTTTCTGGGGACTTCCCTGGTGGTCAAGTTGCTCAGACTCTGTGCTCCCAATGCAGGGAGCTGGGGTTCAATCCCTGGCCGGGGAACTACATCTCACCTGCCATGACTAAAGATCCTGAGTCTCTCAGCTAAGACGTGGCCAAATCCAAAAATAAATATCTTAGAAAATTCAGTTCAGTTCAGTCACTCAGTCGTGTCCGACTCTTTGTGACCCCATGAATCACAGCACGCCAGGCCTCCCTGTCCATCACAAACTCCCGGAGTTTACTCAAACTCATGTCCATTGAGTCGGTGATGCCATCCAGCCGTCTCATCCTCTGCCGTCCCCTTCTCCTCCTGCCCTCAATCCCTCCCAGCATCAGGGTCTTTTTCAGTGAGTCAAATCTTCACATGAGGTGGCCAAAGATTAACAATAACAAAAAAATGGAATTTCTGTACTGATACGACTGCCCTGAAAGACTAGTTTTTCTGGCCGAGGAAACACCTTCAGAATGGACTACGAGGTCTTGGCTTCCGAGGCTGGGGGCTGCCCGGCCCTGCGTGACCCGCCAACCTGGAGCCAGGAGCCGGTGCCAGCGAGAGGACGCGCCACGTGGGGCCTGGGCCTCCCTGCCCTGAGACCCCGGCCTGGGCAGGGTGGGCTGCAGGCTGCCATGAAGACCAGGGCAGGGCCCTTGGGGCCCTGACCTGACAGCATGCAGGTGGCTCAGGAGACCCCCAGGGTGAGTTTGTTAAGCCAAGGGTTTCTAAAGCCATCGGCGCCATTCTCTGTAGGACAGACACCTGTGACCCGTTACCTGTACATGACCGTGGAGGCTGGAGATGGGCCGGTAGCAGGTCCTGGCTTCAGCGTAGGGGCTCCCTTCTGTGAGTGATGGTCTGGCTTCAGCCCAGTGTGATTGAGTCCACGGCCACTGCAATGTCACCAAATACCCACATCATTCCTCCAGGGTCTGGAAATGCAACGCAGCTCACCCCGGGGTGTCTGGAAGCCCTGGGCTCTCAAGGGAGGCTGCTTCGATCAGCTTTGGGTCACATAGGGGTGGGGGCAGGTCTCAGGGTCCAAGACGACCATGACTGGGGTGGGGGCACACGGAGCCTGCTCTCCGAAGCCAGAACTGTGGGTCCTGAGTGTTCCTTGTCGGCCACCCTCCCAGACAGGACATGTTTGTGTTTATATGTTAATGTTTGTGAGGAATTCTGCACAGTTCCTTCTAATAATGTGAGAAAGTAACCTCATTAACCTTCGTTTTGACATTTGCCTGAGAACTATGCCCGGTGGAATGTCTGGCTTGAGTAACAGGTTTCTGGGAACGTGATTCTGAGACTGTTTACTTAAACTCAGAACTACTGTAGTCTGAACCCAGCCCGTGTTTGTCCTCCATTTTTAAAAGGGTTATATCTTTGTGGTTTGAAAATGTCTTTTCAATTCTAAGGAATTTGCAGGAAGTCTTCTGTGGGCCGCTCTGCTGTTATGGTGATATTTCTGTATGTGCTACACTTAAAAAAAGTGCTGAACCCAAAGTCCTAATTCGAATAAAGAATGTGAAGTGATTTGGGACCTTGAAAGCCGTCACTGAGTCTGGGAACGTATTCGGGGCTCACCACTGCGGTGGGGGGCTCTGGACTTAGTGGGTCGGGGCCGTGGATGCTGTGGACATCCTGCGATACACACGCGGCCCCCAGTGCAGGGGCCCCGAGACCTCAGCGCGAGGCCGGAGAACCTGAGTCACTAGTAGCGTCCGAGCATCGATTTCCGGGTTCTGCCAATGAGCCAAGGTTGCAGAAGATCCTATCGCTGGGGTAAGTTATGAGAAGTGAACCCGGGAATTCTCTGCTTTTTCTGCAAATACTTGTGAGTTTCAAACCATTTCAGATAAAAAGTTAATAACAACGCTAAACTTTTTTTTTAAAGAAAGAAAACCTGGTCCTGAGCAGCGTGGGAAGCGTTGCCAGGCGCGGTGCTAGCAGAGAAGTGCGCTGGGCTGCCCGCAGTGGCCTGACGTGGGAACGACACACCCGCTCCCGGTGAGCCTGGCCGGCCGTGGACACAGCTCGGCCTCGCTGTCCCTGCACTTCCGAACACGTCCCTTCCCTACGGAGCGTGAGTTTTCACATCTGCCAAGCAGGGGCCTTGTTCTTGCCTGACTACATGGTTGTGAGCTTGAAGGGAGGCTCTCTGCGGCGTGCCAAGCACACACTATTTAAAAAGAATTTTTTTTGGCCACTCTGCCTGTGGGATCTTAGTTCCCTGACCAGGGATCGATCCCACGCCCCGTGCAGTGGAAGCGTGGAGTCTAGTCAGTAAGTCGTGTCCGCCTCTTTGTGACCCCAGGGACTGTAGCCCCCAGGCTCCTCTGCCCATGGGATTCTCCAGGTGACACTGGAGCGGGTTGCCGTCTCCTGCTCCAGGGGATCTTCCCGACTGAGGCATCGAACCTGGGTCTCTTATGTCTCCTGCGTTGGCAGGTGGGCTCTTTGCTGCTGAGCCCTGGGAAGCCCAGGAGCCGCTGAAGAGCCAGGGCTGCCTGCTCGTCTCCGCTCCCACTCACGGGGCGCCTGCCTTCCCCATGTGCGCTCCACCTCCCCACCCGAGTCTTCACCCGCCCTGGGATATTCCAGCCCCAGGATCTCTCTGAGTTCCCTCTGCCCAGCCTGTTCTCTCGCTCGTGCGCCCAGGCCAGCACTGGCTGGTTTTCTGGTTGTTCTCCAGGTGTTTAGTGGGGCTCCCCAGTCATGAAGCCGGACTCTCGGGGGCGTGCCTCCACCCCACACTGACGCCCTGCCGAGAACACTCAGAACTTTCTTTTGAACCCTGTGCCTGCTGCGAAGACGTGCGAGGGGGCAGTTACTGCTGGTGAGCAAGAGGCAGACATCCCCTTTCTTTTTCAACCGGGTTCAAACTCTGCTTGAGGAATCGCAGAAGCAGCAGCAGAAGCCAGGGAGAAAAAGTGCTCAGTTTAGAAGCAGCTGGAAACACACTTGTTGGCTGAGACTCTGAACTGCTGTCTGGCGAGGAATCCGAGGGGCCACGGGCCTGCTCCGTGAGCTCTCTGTGCGTCTGCAGGCGGCCAGCTGGCTTCACCGCCCAGCCCAGCCCAAATCCACATTCTCGTGGGCCACGGGCTGGGCCGAGTGGCCCCAAACAGCACCACATTTCCACACGAAGCTGGGGACGGGTGCTGGCGACTTCTTGCTGATTGTGCCAGAAGCTAGCACTCGGAATTCCTGGTGGTCCAGTGGCTGGGACTCGGTGTTCCACTGCCAGGGCGCGGGTTCAGCCCTGGCCGGGGAACTAAGGCGCTGCGAGCCACGAGGTGGGGCCAAAGGAAAAGGGAAACGAGACGAGCACGCAGATGGCCTGGAGGGTGGTTTCTTTGCTTTTGATTTAACTGGAATTGCAGACTTTTAGAGCCAGAAAGATCATTAGGGGTCTGGTCAGCCCTGGGACCCTGCAACATGAAGGTGATGTTCATGAGCTGAAGATTAAATTAGACCCCGGTCTTCAGCTGCCCGCCTCAGTGGCTGGATTTTTTCCCACCATCTGCATTCCTCCCACCACACCATATTCCTGTCTTCCAATTTTTTTTTTTTAAGAAATGTTTTATTTATTTTTTCAGTCTGGGTTATTGATACATCGTTTTCCTCTCTGAACAAGCTTCTGTCTGTAGAGACCCAAAAGGAAGTGAAAGGCTGTGTTTTTAGAAGTAAAAATACATGCTAAAATCTGGCAAGTTAATAATCCTAAATATGCTCCGTGGTTGAAGTGTGAGTGGAAGATGAGACTCTTAGCATTAATATTGGAGTCCTCGATTGTATATCCTACATGGGCTTCATAAATCACATAGGTGCACCTAAATGGAAAGTACTCCTTCTACGGAATAACAAATTCATTTTTCTAAGACCCTGTACAAATCTAAAAAAAGAAAAGAGTCACTGTGTTGTACACTTGAAACTAACATAACATTTTAAGTCCACTGCACTTCAATAAATAAATTTTTTAAATTAAAAAAAAATCACTCCTTTAAAAACTTAGAACCAGTTATGTTGTTATTAAACTGTCTCTGTATTCAACACAGACGTCCTCAACCTGAATTCACTCACTAACTGAAGGGAAGTTCGACTGAAATATTTTCACAATGTTTAACTGACATTTAGGAGGGGTCCCTGTAACTTTCTGGTTGATGAGAGGAAAAGGTTTCTAACTTCCCAGGAAAGCTCATCACTTGAGAAGGAAAAGGACACGGGTCATTTGTAGGAAGCCGTTTTCCGGCTGAGCCATGGACCCGAAGTCCAGCTCCTCCGGGAGCGGCCGCCCGCACGTCGATGCCTGGCCCGGCCCTCGGGTGAGCGCCGGGCCGCTGGGTCAGAGAGAAGTGCAGTTCCAGCTCCACTCGTGTCAACCGTCGCTTGTGGCCTAATTCCAAGACAAGACACCAGCTTTGTCTGCTGTCGGCGACACTGTCAGCGGTCCTCCCAGATTCACCTGGAGGGCTCTGCTCCGGGTTCACTCCTGAGGGTCTTTGGACTTAAGCTTCGCCTTTGAGCATCCGAGTCAGAGCATCTGTCTCACTCCCCAAGTGGATCTCGACAGGAGAAGCCATTTTCTTCAACGTTTCCCTGCAGGACTAATAAGGGCTGCAGGCAGACTGAAAGGGAAGGTCCTTTGTTCTCAGGGGTGAGGTGAGCCCTGCCCACAGACTCAGGGCAAACGGTCAGAGAAAAAGCCTGCTTTCCTTACCAAAGGGGCAGAAGGGAACAGGCCCCAGAGCCACACACCCAGGCTGAGACGCTGCCCCAGGACAGCCAGCTGGGGGCAGCGGGGAGGTTTGCCTCCCACCACGGTCACCATCTGCTGAGTGGTGCTCTCACACCGGGGCCTTGAGACGGGCAAGGATCTGGGTTCACAGGGGGAACAGACCCGGGACAGGGCAGGGACGGGTCTCAGGGGCACACGCGGGCCAGAGCATCCTGGAACCGTCAGTTATCGCCAGATGCCATGAACACACGTTGCTTGAACGCAGTGTCACAACACCATCTACCATCCACAGACGAGGCGGGCAGACACGGTCTTCACCAGGGCATGAGGATGCCCTCGACTGTGAGAATTAAAGTGATGCAGGGAGCGGCGCGTGCAGCGGCCCGTCGGGGACAGTCACCACTACGTTAGGACCTGCGGCGACTTATACGAGCCTGTTGTAAACCCAAACACGTGAGTAATAAAGTCACTCAGTGCTGCTGATGGAGGGGGGTGATTAGCAAGAAACCACCCGGTGTCCCAGTCCCTCATAAACTTCCTTCTTTTCCTGTTTTGAACTGGTGTGTTTTCAAGGATAAATGCACATGAATATGGTTTCTACCTGTAACATACTCAAAGGGCAGAGTTTCCTGAACTGGCTAAACATTAAAAAGACCAGGAGAAATTTAAAATTTATAAATCATTGTTGGTGATTTGATCTATGGTTCCTCTGATTTAGAAAAGGCAGAGGAACCAGAGATCAAATTGCCAACATCTGCCGGATTATAGAAAAAGCAAGGGAGTTCCAAAAAACCATCTACTTCTGCTTCATTGACTACTCCAAAGCCTTTGACTGTGTGGATCACAACAAACTGGAAAATTCTTACAGAGATGGGAATACCAGACCACCTGACCTGTCTTCTGAGAAGCATGTATACAGGTCAAGAAGAAACAGAACTGGACATGGAACAACAGACTAGTTCTAAGTCAGGAAGGAGTACGTCAAGGCTGTATATTGTCACCCTGCTTATTTAACTTATATGCAGAATACATCATGCGAAATGCAGGCTGGATGAGGCACAAGCTGGAATCAAGATTGCCGGGAAAAATATCAATAATCGCAGATATGCAGATGACACCACCCTTATGGCAGAAAGCAAAGAGGAACTAAAGAGCCTCTTGATGAAAGTGAAAGAGGAGAGTGAAAAAGTTGGCTTAAAACTCAACATTCAAAAAACTAAGATCATGGCATCCAGCCTCATCACCTCATGGCAAATAGATGGGGAAACAGTGGAAACAGTGACAGACTATTTTCTTGGGCTCCAAAATCACTGCAGATGGTTACTGAAGCCATGAAATTAAAAGACGATTGCTCATTGGGAGAAAAGCTATGACCAACCTAGATAGCATATTAAAAAACAGAGACATTACTTCGCGGACAGAGGTCAGTCCAGTCAAAGCTATGGTTTTTCCAGTAGTCATGTATGGATGTGAGAGCTGGACCATAAAAAAAGCTGAGTGCCAAAGAATTGATGCTTTTGAACTGTGGTGCTCAGAAGACTCTTGAGAGTTTCTTGAACAGCAGGGAGATCAAACCAGTCAGTCCTAAAGGAAATCAACCCTGAATATGCACTGGAAGAACTGGTGCTGAAGCTGAAACTCCAATACTTTGGCCACCTGATAATAACTGACTCATTTGAAAAGACCCTGATGTTGGGAAAGACTGAAGGCAGGAGAAGGGGACGACAGAGGATGCGATGGTTGGATGGCATCACCGACTCAATGGACATGAGTTTGGGTGGACTCCAGGACTAGGTGGTGGACAGCAGCCTGGCGTGCTGCAGTCCACAGGGTTGCAGAGAATTGGACACGACTGAGCGACTGAACAACACAAGTAAATCACCGTGCCTCGTCTGCAACTTATCAAGTCAGAATACGCAGCGCTGAGCAAGTTCTTTTTAAAAACTCCCAGTCTCTCCAGGTGACTCTGACTCTGAGTGAGCTTCGGGACGACGTTTCAGCGCACCCTGGAGTCCCCTAGGGCGTGTCAGACTGAAAATTCTGATTCAGAACAGGTTGGGGTAGGGCTCGAGATTCTGTGCTTCTAGCAAGCTCCCCAGTGGGGCTGACGTCAGTGATCCTGAGACCACCCTGAGCAGCGGGTTGTAGGACCGGGCTCTAGGTGAGCGACCACACCCAGGGAACCTCTGTTGTCACGCTGGGCCCGGGTCTCAGTGGTAGGATGCACCCTGCTCCCCTTCATCCCTGGATCTCTTCCAATGTGTGGACTTGCCTTTGCAAAGGGGTCACTCAGCTCAGGGCTGGACCCTCCCTGCTGGGCCCCCCACCACCCTCTGCAGGCCCGGCACCAGCAGGAAACAAAATCGCCTTAATCATGAAGACACGTGTGTCTGGTAGAGAAGGCCAGGGAGACGCTTTCATTTATTGTCAAGGACTGAGAAACACGTCTGGAAATGCTTTATACAGGTGCTGCAGAGCCACAGAGAGGGGTGGGGTGGACGAGACACCACTGTACACGGCCTTCCCTCGAGGCGCTCCAGCTCTTCATCCTGACGCTTGAACCGAGGACAGCCAGCGACAGCCGACCTCTGTCACTAAGGCTGCAGAAGAGGCGACACTTCGCTCAGTTCATCAGTTCCTGGAGGGCAGGCAGAGTGAGGCTATTTAAAGCTGATGCAGGGGCCCCTCGAGGTCTGCTAGGGGCCCCACGGCAAACAGAACAGATGCTGCCGGTGGTCCATGCTGCTGTTGGAGGCTGGTCCCGGCTCCTAGGCCCGGGGCTTCTCTTGATTCTCAATGACAAGCTTGTCAGTCGAATACATCTGGCCAATGTGGACCTGGAGGCAAAGAGAACACAAAGGTCAGGGACTCGACTCCGTGAGCTGCGGAGACTCAGAAAGAGCATCTCCAGGGCACTGGTGCAGACGCATGTCGTTCTGGAAGCTGTGCTGCGGCCAGAGTGCAGTCATGGCTTTGCTTCCGCTCCGTCTTGGCACCGTACCCCGCCACACCAGTTCCCCTGCTTTGGGGACAGTGGGAGGTTCCCATTCATGCCTTCTCACCCCTGGAACAGTCCCAGTGGCGGGCTATCCTGAGCCAGCGAGACCCAGGCTGCCCTGCGCACGGTGACTCCACACCCACAGGATTTCCGGCCCTTAGGACCGGTTCTTCCGTCAGGATGGAGTTTTACCGTAAAGCGTGAGTGAGCCTCATCCACACCGGGCAAAGCCTGGCTCTGCACGCACCTCTCTCACTGTCCACCTCTGTCCTCTGGTCTCAGCATCCTCGCCTGTAAGAGAGCCCTGGTGGTTCCCAGCAGATCTTCAGTCTTCTGCTTTGGACCCACAACACCGTTGGTACCTACAGGGTGTGACAGCCCAGGGCCAGTCGCATGGGTGCCACAGTGCGGGCAGGGTAATGGGCTTCCTGCCACTTCCCGAGGGGCCGGCCCTGCCTCCTAACGTGCCCCCAGCCGGCAGCAGCCAGAGCGATGCTGTGAAGCCTGCTGTCCCCAGCTGGCAGCCCACCTGGGCCACCTTCAAGGGCATGTGTCTCAAAGGCAGGGCAGGTGGCCCAGGCATGCTGTGGCCCTGTGACCACTGATGAGACGATGGGAGAAGGAAGCGGAGATCAGAGGGCTAAGCAGCGGAGATGATTTAGGGGCATTTGTTGAGGGAAAGCCCCCACGAGCCCTGGAGGAGGTGTGAAGGGCAGCCTAGTCCCAGCCAAGACACAGATGAGTGGCGGGCACCTCCTGTACCAGGACTGTGCTCGGGGGAGACTGAGACTGATCCTGCCCTCAGGAAGCTCAGAGTCTGGGAGGGGAGACACAAGGAGGGAGGTAACTGTAACCTGATGGCTGGAGCATCTGTAGCCATTCTAGCACTAGGAGGTAAGTTTGCTTCATCACACTGAAGATGAGAAGCAGGAAGCAGGAGCCTGGGTTCTTGATGACTGTGGAGCCAGCTTAACTAGCTTATTGCCAACTTTCTTTTACGTGAGAGAAAAATCTCTATATTTTTAAATGTGTTATTTGCATTTCTTGTTATACACAACTAAACCAAATCCTAATTGATATGAATGCATATTGTGAATTTTAATTGATGACTGATAAAAAAAGGTCACTGCAAAGAAGGTGTGTCTAGGATAAGTGGAAACAATATTACTATCACCTGGGGAAGTGCCATTAACGGACAGTCCGAAAATTCCTGAAGTTTAAACAAAGCCACATGAAGGCTTAGAGAGATCTCCTTTTGTCCCACAATACTTGTGTTAGAGTATGTGGCTATTAATATTTTACCATTTTTTTGGTCTATTTATTCACTTATACATTTAAAATGTATGCATATATATTCAAGCAGAGTATTTAAATTTGGAATCATAACTTTTAAAAACTTAACTTTATATCCTTATATCATGAAGTAGTCTTTGAAAGGATATTTTTAATAATGGACAAAACTGCACTGTGAAGAGGCATAATTTAATCATTCTCATATGATGAATATTTGCAGAGTTTTTGCTGAGTCTTGGGGTTACCATTCTCATGTATAAACCTTTTATAGTATCTCTGATTTTTCTTGTAAAAGGTTTCTAGAAGTGGGATTACTGGGTAAATAGATATGAATATTTTTATGGCTCTTGATGGATCTTGCAAAACTACTTTCCAAAAGTGCGCATTTGCTTGACAACTGACCCTCTGGATGGTCTGAAGGTTTGGCAGAACAAACACGTCTTTCCACCTGGCTCACCGTGGTCAGTGTGTGTGCCCATGGCCCCCTTCCCCAGCCTGGTCCTCCTAACAGATGCCCCGCCAGACAGTTCATGCAGTACTTGCTTCTCAGAGCCAGCATCTACAGGGCTAGGTGCTCTCGCAAGAAATGCAGCCCTGTGAGGTGCCTGGTCCCGCTCAGCGCCATGAAGGGCTCCAGAGAAGAGGGCAGAATCAAGAACCAGGAGACGCTCCAAAGAGTTCAGACTTGAGAACGCTGCTCGGGTGAAGCAGGAGATGTGTTGGCCGGTGCCCACCACACCCCGTATCCTTCGGCCCCGGGGACGGGTGCAGAGCTGGCCCCCCGGGGACACCAGAGACAGACTGTCTGCTGACCAGCGCCCCAAGTCCTGGGGTGGGTGGGGAAGCTCTGTGAGGCGAAAGCCACCTGGTGGCAGGTCGGCACCCGCAGCTGCTGGAGCTGCTGCTGGAGGGGCTTCACCAAGCCCTCTTGGGAGCGGGCAGAACCCAGGATCCTGTCAGCGCGAGAGCTGGCCCCTCCCCAGGGTGGTGACCGCAGGAGCCCGGCAAACCGCCAGAGAAGCCCGTCGGTCACGCTGCTGCCCCTCGGGCCTGCATGCGGGCCCCAGGCCAGTAGGCCGGCAGCGCGAGCATCGCCACGAGGTGAGGTGATCCGCGGCTGGGGCCAGTGGGTTCCGCGACGCCTTTACCCCCGCCTGAGGAACGCTGTCCGTGCGTCTCCTTGGACAGTCAGGCCGCCCTGTGCTCTGCCATCCCTACAGGACCCCTCTTCAGGGTCAGTGTGAGCTGATTTGGGTTACAGAGCTGCTTTAGACAAACATAAAGCTCAGAGAAAAAGACCAGTACTGAGTGGGCGACGGCTGGCTTCTGGAGGCCGGCCGCCGGGCGTGCCCTGCGCCTCACTGGATGACAAGGACAGCACGGGGTGCGGGCGCGCGCTGCTCCGCTTGGTTACGAGTCCCTGACTCTGGGTTTGGGGTGCGGGGCGGCGACACCTGAGACGGCCGCACCAGCAGACGCACACAGTGGATCCAGAGGCGGGGTCACGGCAACCCAGAGGGGTGCGCGGCCCGGGGGAAGGCTCGGGCTGTGAGAGGGCCCACCTCCTGGCAGCCGGCCCAGCACAGGCGTGATCGGCCCAGTGCTGAGAAGGCGGGAGTGAGCAGGTGCCCGCAGAGAAAAGGCTGAGCACCCACCCTCTCCACCCCCGCCCTGGGCACTGCCCCCGAGACCCAGCCCCCGGGGCGGTCTCTCCACCCCCCACACCCAGGTGGACGCCACGCCCGGAGGTGCGGGCCCACCTTGCTTCCCGTGAGAAATGGTGGCGACAGCAGACACAGGAGGAGGAGGAAGCAGCGTGCCCACGCCCCCACAGCGCGCCTCTCACGCTCAGCACCCCCGGGTCAGGACACACACGCCCCTCGGCCCCTCTGTCCCCCTCAGCACCCGCCCTGCCGGCACCGCTGTGTGAGACGCCGGGACGTGGGCACCGGCTGTCAGCCAAGGCCACACCTTCCCAGGGCCGGGAGCCTCCGGAAACACCCGGGGTGGATGCACCCTGGCACACCTCATTAACGGGGCTCCCTTCTGTCTCCCCCCAACCCCCAAGCCAGGCTGAAAAGAACACTGCAGTGGACACCGGGAGACAAACACCCCAAATTCATAAAAACAAGGTTACAGTGGGAAATTCTGATATTCCTCCAAAACAAAATAGAGCCAGACACTCAAGGACTTGGCCAAAGAAAATCCTAAAAAGTCTTGCATTTCTCAGGTTAATTTACTGTCGATTAGACTTTTGATTTAGTTGCCAGAGTTGCCCTTCACTTTCTCTTAAAGCATATCCTCAATGTGCAATCATTAAAAATGACATTGCAGAAGAATATTTAATGACCTGGAGAATATAATTTGAGTGGAAAAGAAAAAGGACAATACAAATCATAATTGAGAGGTAACCATGACATGTCCTGGCTTCACAACTCTGCCCTAAACTCACAGCTTTTTCTTCATGTAGTCCTGGGTCCGCCAGCAGGTGGGGGATTCTGACGTGGTTTCACCCCAAGAAGGCTTCTATGACTGTGGCTTTCAGGACACCCCCAGGGTGAGGACAGGGGCATTTCTGCCTCCCCCCCCAGCCCTCCCCCTCTGCCCCCCAACCTCCGTCCTGCTTCACCTGCTGAGCAATCCATTGTTAGGAAAGTCACGTTTACTGGGCAGGTACCAGGCTGAGTGGCATAATTGCTTAGCTTCTTCCTTTTGTTGTTTCTGTTCACTCATTAAGTTATGTCTGACTCTTCGTGACCCCATGGATTGCAACACCACAGGCTTCCCTGTCCCTCACTATCTCCTGGAATCTTTTCAAACTCATGTCCATTGAGTCGGTGATGCCATCCAACCATCTCATCCTCTGTCGTCCCCTTCTCCTCCTGCCTTCAATCTTTCCCAGCATCAGGGTCCTTTCCAACGAGCCGGCTCTTTGCGTCAGGTGGCCAAAGTACTGGAGCTTCACCATCAGTCCTTCCAGTGAATATTTAGGACTGATCTCCTTTAGGATGGACGGGTTGGATGTCCTTGCAGTCCAAGGGACTCTCAAGAGTCTTCCCCAGCACCACAGTTCAAAAGCATCAATTCTTTGGCGCTCAGCCTTCTTTATGGTCCAACTCTCACATCCATACATGACCAATGGAAAAACCATAGCTTTGGCTAGATGGACCCTTGTTGGCAATGTGATGTCTCTGCTTTTTAATATGCTGTCTAGGGTTTTCATAGCTTTCCTTCCAAGGATAAACCACCTTTCTAATTTCATTAAAAATGTCTTTTTAGTTTCTCCCTTAATTTTTATAAATATCCTATCACTGCATGATAAATACATCTTATGGATGAATAAAAGGAATCAGAAGAATTTAATGACCCGCCTACACTGTCACAACTGGTATACAAATTATGGAGCTGACACAGTTCAACCCAGCCAGGTCTTCTGACTCCAAAACCTACAGCCTTTCCAAATGTATACATCCATAACAACACCTGGCCAGTTTATCAGAGCTAAGTAAGCCTCTCAAGGGTCAGGGAACAGAGGGAGGGAGAAGA